ATCAAGAGCAAGCAAACAAGCAAGCAATCGCAACAACCACACCCCAGCAAGCATGAGTCAAGTGCTGCAGCACCCGCGCGTCTTCACGTTCGTGAAGGGCGAGAGCAAGGGTGACGGCAGTATGAAGTCGCTGCTGGGCGGCAAGGGCGCAAACCTGTGCCAAATGGCGCGCAACGGCGTGAACGTGCCGCCCGGACTGACCATCACGACGGAGGTGTGCCAAGAATTTTACTCGGTGGGTAGACACCTGCCGGACGGCCTGATGAACGAAGTGCACGACGGCGTGCGCCTGATGGAGAAGACACTGGGCGTGACGTTCGCCGACGCGACGAACCCGCTGCTGGTGTCAGTGCGCTCGGGCGCGGCTATCTCGATGCCCGGCATGATGGACACAGTGCTCAACCTGGGTCTAAACGACCAGATCGTCGAGGGCGTGGCCAAACGCGGCGGCGACCGCTTCGCATACGATTGCTACCGTCGTCTGCTGCAAATGTTTGGTGACGTCGTACTGGAGATCCCGCATGACGACTTTGAAGCTGAACTGTCGGCCATGAAGCAGGAGCGCCACGTGACGTTCGACGTGGAGTTGACGGCCGGCGACCTGAAGGAGCTGGTGCAGAAGTACAAGAAGGTGTATAAGAAGCACGGCAAGTCATTCCCGTCAGACCCATGGGAACAGATGCGCATGGGCATCGAAGCTGTGTTCCGCTCGTGGAACATCCCGCGCGCCGTCAAGTATCGTGAGATTAACAAGATCACGGGTCTCAAGGGTACGGCCGTGAACGTCCAGGCCATGGTGTACGGCAACATTAATGACCAGTCGTGCACGGGCGTGCTGTTCACGCGTAACCCAGCCAACGGCGAGAACAAGCTGTACGGCGAGTTCCTGTTGAACGCTCAGGGCGAAGATGTGGTCGCAGGCATCCGTACGCCGCAGCCCATTTCGGAGCTGGCACAGAAGATGCCGGTCGTGTACAAGCAGCTGGACGAAACGGTGCACAACCTGGAGACTCATTTCAAGGACGTCCAGGACACAGAATTCACGGTGCAGGACGGCGTGCTGTTCATGCTGCAGACTCGTAACGGCAAACGTACAGGTCCTGCGGCTCTGAAGATCGCCGTGGACATGTGGCGTGAGAAGCTGATCACGGAGGAGGAGGCTGTTATGTTGGTGGAGCCACGGCACCTGGACCAGCTGCTGCATCCGAGCTTCGCCAACGAGAAGGCCTACCAGAAGGACGTGCTGTGCCAAGGCCTGCCGGCGTCACCGGGTGCGGCTGTGGGCAAGATCGTGTTCACGGCGGCGGATGCAGAAGCGTGGTTCACTCGAGGTGAGAACGTCATGCTGGTGCGTGAGGAGACTTCTCCCGAGGACGTCGGTGGTATGCACGCTGCTGAAGGTATTCTAACGTCTCGTGGTGGCATGACATCGCATGCTGCTGTGGTGGCTCGAGGCTGGGGCAAGCCGTGCGTGTGCGGCTGTAGCGCACTGTCGATCGATGCGGACAGCAAAACAATGCGCGTGAGCACGGTGGACGGCGGCGAGGTGATCATGCATGAGGGCGACTACATCAGCGTGAACGGCACGACGGGCGAGGTGATCCAAGGCGAGCAAGCGCTGCAGAAGGCTGTGATGAGCGGCGAATTGGAGCAGTTCATGGAGTGGGTCGATACGCACCGCCGCATGGAGGTGTTCACGAATGCGGACACACCCGAAGACGCTCGCGAGGCGCGTGCGCACGGCGCGCAGGGTATCGGTCTCACGCGTACGGAGCACATGTTCTTCAGCTCCGCGCAACGTATCGCCGCCGTGCGCCGTATGATCGGCGCCGTGGAGCTGGACTCTCCAGCACAACAGGAAGCTCTGGATGCGCTGTGCACGTTCCAGCAGGGTGACTTCGAAGGCATCTTCCGTGCCATGGACGGTCTTCCTGTGACTATCCGTCTGCTGGATCCGCCACTACACGAGTTCCTGCCGCACGAGGGTAGTGCTCTTGACGAGCTGTGCGCGACTCTGGCGCAGGAGATGACGGTAAGCAAGAAGACCGTGGAGGCTCGCCTGGCAGGTCTGAAGGAGGCGAACCCGATGATGGGTCTGCGTGGCTGCCGATTGGGCATCGTACATCCAGGCATCACGGAGATGCAGGCAAAGGCCATCGCAGAGGCCGCTGTGACGGTAGTGGGCGAGAGTATCTCGGTGCACCCGCACATCATGATCCCGCTGGTGGGCTCAATTGAGGAACTGGAGCAGCAGGTGAAGCTCGTGAGATCGGTAATGCAAGACGTGATCAACAAGCGCGGCAAGTCGTTTGAGTACAAGGTTGGTACGATGATCGAGGTGCCGCGTGGTGCGCTGCAGGCCGGCAGACTGGCCGAGGTGGCCGAGTTCTTCTCCTTCGGCACGAACGACTTGACGCAGATGACGTTCGGCATTTCTCGCGACGACGCACAGGCCAAGTTCCTCTCATACTATGTGAAACATGGCGTGCTGGAGAAGGATCCGTTCGAGACGCTGGACCAGGAGGGCGTGGGCGAACTGGTGCGTCTGGCCGTGGAGCGTGGTCGCGCGACGCGTCCCAAGATCGAGTTGGGCATCTGCGGCGAGCACGGCGGAGACCCGCAGTCGATCGAGTTCTTTGAGAGGGTGGGTCTCAAGTACGTGTCGTGCTCTCCAATGCGCGTGATGATCGCTCGTCTGGCGGCCGCGCAGGCGGCTCTGAAGCTGAAGAAGAGCTCACCCGTTCCCGGCGCCTAAGGGACCGAAAAACTGGTTGCACTTCTTCGAGGGTTCTGCTATCCGGAACAAGACAACTGAGGCCAGGCTGGCGAAGCAAGCTAGCAAATATGAGGCTCTCGAGTGCGTTAGTTCATGTGTGTATGAGCAGTGACGTTGTCGAACGTTGAGGCGGCAGCTGTTGCTGCGTATTGACTTTTAATGCTAGTTGTTGACAGAAAAGTGTGCTTTGGTGTTGTTATACGTCGAGCTTTCTTTGTTTTTGATTTTTGTTTGCGGCTTGACGCGATCCCCGATGTCGCGCACAGTCGCAACCTTATCTGAATGCAATGTCCTCTTGAATGGCTTCTACCATCAAGTTGATATTAGCTCGCTTTTGAAAAGGTGCAACTACGATAGCGCTGCGTGAACAAAAACGAAAATGACGATGAATTCGGTATGATCCAATAGTTTTTGTTTTAATGCTCAATGCATTTGTAAATCCTGATTTAAAAAAAACGCGTAGATAGACGTGTACTTCGTACTCGAGCAGTGCAGCACATGAATTGAAACTCAACCTCCCTCACTACTGGAAAGTGTACGCAAGTAATTCGTGTGCAACTTGAGCTCAATTCCTCCCGTAGCTGCAGCCATGCACGCCTACACGAGAAGTGCCCTTTGGTGCTACTTCGTCAGAGGCTGCTTCGAGCCTAGAGGTAGCCGTTAGTTTTCGAAAAATAGCGGGAGCAAGACACGCACAAATCAGAGAGCGCAGCAGCATGATACGATCATACCTTACAACATGTAACAAGACTCTTTGGCTCGGTTATCTTACTATCGATAGCTGCACCGAGCATGACGTTGTCACCTTTGCATTGGTTGCCCCGGGCAATGCCCGTCATTCGATGTCTACCACCGGAAACACTACACTTCTAGTGGAGTTTCTCTATTTCTAAACGGCCAATAGACTTCGACTCGTCTATGCAACTTCAACCTGAAAAATCCATTTCTAAGCGAGCAAGCGAATTTCTATCGTGTTTCTAATCGGTCACGCTCCGTCTATGCAACTTCAATATGATGATTCATGACAAAAAGACGTGGCATGTTGATCTAGCCTAAGTCAACGATCGGCAATCTATAGGTTGGTTCATTCTAGATTGGTTGACAGACTACTGTATTACGTTTCTCTCTCACAACCACGTAAGTTCAAGACTAGAGCAACCAACCAAAATCCTGAACGCTCGGCTAGCGCAAAGTTCCGCTTCTGAAGATCGTGATTGCTAACAGCTAGCGGCGGCGAAATTGTGTCATCCCTGCCGGCATGTCTTGGACAGCTAAAGAAGAATAAAAAAAACGCCTTCTATCGAAGTAGGTTCGTAAATGGCTGTCAAAGACAAAGGCCAACTACGCCTTAAGGTACCACGCAAACGGCTTGTCAGCAACGTAGGTACAGATCTGCTTCGGTTCGAGGTAGGCGTTCAGGCCGAACGGTCCGAGCTCGCGACCGATGCCGCTCTTCTTGACGCCGCCCCACGGCAACTCCACAAAGCATGGCTGCGAACAGTTGTTCCACACAATTCCAGCGCGCAGAGCCTTCGTCACGCGCTTGAGCTGCACGTCATCTGACGTAAACACGGCAGCCGCCAGGCCAAACTCCGAGTCGTTTGAAAGAGCAATGGCCTCTTCCTCCGTCTTGAACGTCATCACGGATAGCACAGGGCCAAAGATCTCCTCCTTCCATACGCGCATGTTCTTGGTCACCTTGGTGATGATAGTGGGCGGAACAAAGTAGCCCTTGTCACTACTCGGCAGAGTTCCTTGGGCCACAGTCGCACCCTCGTCCTTCGCGCTCTGGATGTACCCCAGTACCTTCGCCTGTTGCACTTTGGATACCAGCGGACCCATCTGCACCTTACCATCCAGCGGGTCTCCAAGCAAAAGCTTCTTGGTCTCCTTCACCAGTAGCTCAATGAACTCATCGGCGAAGCTCTCGTGAACCAGCAGCCGTGACGTTGCGCTGCAGATCTGGCCGTTCGTCCAGAAGCAGCCGAACATGACCCACTCGACTGTACGCTCGATGTTGACTTTGTCAAACACGATCGCAGGGGATTTGCCACCAAGCTCCAGCGAGATCTTCTTTATGTCCTTTGCAGCTTCAGTCATGATGTTGCGTCCCGTGGGTACGCTGCCCGTGAAGGCCACCTTGTGTACATCTGGGTGTGAAACCAGCGAACCTCCAGCCTCGGCTCCCAAGCCGTTGATCACGTTCAGGACGCCGGCGGGCAAGCCCACGTCGGCTGCCAGCTGCGCCAGCTGCAGTGCGCTCAACGGTGTAATCTCGGACGGCTTGAGCACCACGGTACAGCCCGCCGCTAGGGCTGGAGCCAATTTCCAGAGTGCCATGAGCGCCGGATAATTCCACGGGATGATGGCGGCCACCACGCCCACTGGTTCGTAGCGCAGAGCGCCAAGGAAGTCCTCAAGAGGAAGGTCTACCTTCTCGTATTGGCGAGCATCCAGGGCCTCGGCGGCCTTGGCGTAGTACTCAAAGCAGCCAGAGACGTCCTCAATGTCCCACACAGCTTCTGCCAGTGGCTTGCCATTGTCCAGTGTCTCGAGGCGGCTCAACGCGTCGATGCGCTTGGCCACCAGCTCGCCCATCTTGCGGAGGTACACGGCTCTCTCGGCCCCCGTGGTAGAGCTCCATTTGTCGAAGGCGCGCTTCGCAGCCTGCACCGCCAGGTCCACGTCGGCGGATGAGGCGGCGGCCACCTGCTGGATCACCTCTTCGTTGGCGGGGTTGATCACGTCGATGTACTTCTTGTTGACAGGCGCTACCCACTTGCCGTCGATGAAGAGTTCCTTCAGTGTTGGGATCGGGTCGCTCATACTGGAATAGCTTATTGTCAGGTGCTGGATACTGCGCGAATTGGAAAGTGATTGAATGCAGGGAACTTCGATGTGCTTCGCTTCTAAACCTGGAACCAAGTTGAACCTTCCTAGCCGTATGCCAGCGTGGACCACATGCCGCAAAGCATGAGGCCTCTTGTCGATGCGCGTCATAGATGGATACACTTATATGATAATGTTACCCTCCCTGAAGCGCTTGACCGCGTAACACAATCCGCATCGTCGGACAACATTGTTCTCAAGCTGCGGAACTATTTGATCAGTGTCCTCCGTAAACAATGAAAATTCCTTGGGTGGTTGGTGAAAGGTAAACTGGTATCGATTCGAGTTCACTTACAATGTACTTAGTATAATGCATAACATAGGCAAATCAATACGAATACCAGTGAGGCCCTTACTCGCGCAGCCGGCCCGACAAGCCGGTCTTACTCGGCGCCATGGTATGGTAGCTGGCCTGACTGCGCTTGACAATCTTTTCACGCACACCCTTGGGTGCAGCAGGTGAGAATAGTATGTTACTCTTGATCTGGGGCACGACGTGCTTGAAGTAGTAAACGCTGCCGACCATGAACACTAGCACGGTCACGACAATGGATGCCAGGAAGATAGTGTCGCTGAGGCTGCTATACAGGATAGCGGCAATGGCCACGCCACAGAGCGCAATGCCAAGAATGGCTCCGGAGACACCGAATGGGCTGCGGTACGGTCGAGCACGCCCAGGCTGCCGCACGGCTAGGTAGATGTACGAGAGCAGTTGAAACACGTAAGAAATGAGAGCTCCCAGAAGTGTCAAGTTGATCAGCGCTGAGCCTAGGTTGGCATCGCCAATCGTGTAGTGGAGCACGATCGCGATGGCCTCGCACATCACGGTTCCGAAGACTAGAGCACCGACTGCAGTGCCTCGAGTTGGGTGCTCGTAGGCGAGAAACTTAGGGAAGTATCCGTCCTTCGCAATCGCGAACAGCAACTGTCCCATAAAGAAGATGTACGAATTGGGGCTGGACGTCAACGCAATGACAGTCAGCCACTTGAGCACCATCGTTGTGGTTCCGTTGCCGAAAATGGTCTGAAAGCTGGTCACAAGCGGAGCCGAGACGTTGGCCATGGCTGCAGCCCCAGGGGAAATGAGGGAGCTGAACGTGGCCGTACCGAAAGACAGAAAGATCAAAGTCGTTATACAGAGAAACAATCCTCGAGGAACGTTCTTCTCGGGCTCGATGGTCTCGTCACTAGCTAGTGGGAGCTCCTCGATGCCCAGATAGAACCACATGGCGAAGGGAATAGCGTGGATGGTGTTGTCCAAGCCGGTGAACTCCCAGTGCTGCTCGACGACCCACGTGTTGTAGTCGACGTATGGTATCGCCGCGGTGAAGAAAATCAATAGTAGCGCCACACATAGCGTAGTCGAGCACGCCTGTATCCGGAACGACGCCTGAACCCCAAAAATGTTCAGACTCAAGAACAAAATGCCAAAGGTGATGAAGAATACTGGAGCGAACTTGACATCGACGTCGAACAGCGCTTGCAGGTACGAGTAGACAGTGTAGAAGGTCGACGCGTTGACAGCGATGACTTTCAATGTCTCGGCCAAACCGCTGAAGAATGCTGCTCGAGGGCCGATTGCATGCAGTGCGAAGATGTAGGGTCCTCCTCCAGCTGGAATTGTCGCCGACAGCTCTGCAATGGAAAACGATAGCATCACGTATAGAACCGTCACCATGCACAAGACGAAGAGCATTCCGTCGAAACCGGCGATGAGGGACGACTGCCAGCCGTAGTATTGACCGCTGATGACAGCACCGATGCCTAAGGCCCACAATTGCGGAGCTCTTGCGTATCGATGTGGCGGCGCATTGGCTCCTTGAACGTCGACGGAAACACATTCCACGCGACACATCCTGGCTGTGGTTGTTGAATTCACGTTGAGTACTCTTGCGCGACGAGTGTGGGCACTACGTGGCTAATTTCAAAGTGAGGTAGTAGTCATCGTGCTCATCATTAGAGCAAGAACGACACAGTGCATCCTTATTGGCTTGCAGAGCGCGTCATCCGTTCTTCAAGCAGCTACGGTCTGTGTTTGACTAGCGAGTATTACCAACGTGAATGCCTTATGGCGGCAACTAGGGGAGCTCATTTTCTCTTTCCCCCAGGCAGGTGTTACGGTAGCAGCAACCAAATTTCACCATGGATAGCCACGCTGACTGTGCGCTTTGCAGGGTGGAGAAGGACTCCTTCAAGGAAGGGGGGGG